ACCTTCTAAAAACCTGAAAGAAAGGATATTTTGATCTGAAATTCCGCTCGTTGCTGAAAATTTCAAGTCAAAATTCCTTTGTTTCGATTTTTTCTTGAGATGGAATATTCCATTCCTTAACACTATGTTTAACAATATCACTTCAAAAAAAAACCAAAGCTGTACATCGCTTCTATGAATAAAAACAAAAAAAAAAACTTCAGAAAAGAAAAGTATTGTAGAAGGAACGTTGAATTCTTAAGGAAGGGTTAACTTCCTCTACTATTTTTATCATATAAATGATATAAACATATTCTATTTCATTTTCTATTTTAAAAAAGTAAATATTTCTTTTAGTTCCTATATTTCAACGTGTAAAACGAAATTATTTTCTCTATATATTAAATTCATCAACATTATTACATACACGTAGTATAATCGATTATCGTGGTCCATTTTTTTCACCATTTATATTTACAAATGAATTTTCACTTCTATTTAATATTTATCCATCATTATCAAATTGTTGTTCAACATTAGCTATTTTAAAAAATATTGAACCATCATCAAATATACGTCTTATTGAAGTTTATTCATTACCATATACATGTACAACATTAAAAGCAATAACACGACGAAATATTTTACGTTATGTTGATAGAAAACAACTTAAACAATTACGTTTACCAGACAATTTAAAAGCTTATTTAGCTTATAAACCACAATTTGTTTAAACATACATATATAAATAATAATTTTATTTTTTGTCAATATCAGTTGTATAAAAAACCAAAAAACATGTCACTTTCTTTTTTGTTTGCAATATTTTCTTTTATCTCTTCTTGTAGTTATTTTTCCTTTGTTTCTTTTTTTTTCCTTGTCGTCAATGATGTGCGAATGCTTTTCTTTTTCTTGCATGAATCATTAAATAAATCAAATAAAATCTATTGTAAAGAGAATAATTTTTCTATATATATATATAATGAGAGATTAAAGAGAAACAATGTTTGTAGAATAATGTCAGTATCAACAGCACTTGAAGATTATCATAAACAGTTAATACAATATTTTCTACATGATGGTGCTTATAATGAAAAAGAAATGATTGATCTTGTAAATGCTTTACGTAATCGATATGAATTAAAAATAAAAATAAAAGATGAAATTCGTATATTAACAAATAATTTTTTACCATTAATTAATAAACATATTAATCAATATGGTATTGAAATAAAACAAGTTACAAGTGAAGAACATGAAAATGATATTTATTTTGTATGTATACAAAATTTTAAACCACAATTTGTTAAAATGGATTGTTCATATACGGAAAAAGAAGCAGCAGTTTTTGAAAAATTATTGGAATTAATTATAACTAGTGATGAAAAGTTAGTTGAAAGTTTTCTTTTTTGTTTCATGTGAAAACAAATAGATGTTTAATATTATTTAAAAATTCAATCATATCTTGAATATATTTCAAAGATTATATCAAGAACTTTTTTTCTAGACATTATTAAATTTAGCTTCTTCCTTTTGAAGAAAGTTTATTTTGATTAGAATTATTGAAATTAAAATAATCGTTTGAGATGTATGTTTGATTTTCAGAAAAAAATATATTGAAAATATTATGATTCAGTGACTTATTATTGAAGAGATTGAAATTTGAAATTATACTTTCAGATCTTTCTCATAGATTAAAAAAAAAAAAAAAACACAATCTGTAATTTTATCTACTTATTTTTTTTGTTTTTTACATAGTCTAATTGATTAATCTTTTAAAATTTATCCTAGATGTGTAGCACCTCGTGAAGTATTCGAAGCAATTCTTTCGAATGATTTAAAAATGACACAAAAAGAATTTAGTGAAACAATGACACGTTTTCATCGTGATAAATGGATTGAAAGTGGTCCACATAATACTGTTATACTTCATGCTCGAACTATATTAGAAATGCAATCATTTATTATGGATACATATAGAGATTTTATTTACAATTGTCAAATATGTACACGTCTTTTAATTCGAGGATTAAATTGCTCAAATAGGTAAGTTACAGAGAGATATTTTGATTTGATCGTTGAGCTCTCAGCACCAACATGATGATGATTGGTATCACAGTTTCCTTTAGCATAAGATTCTTTTCGGAGATTTGTAGGCAAAAGATATTCAATTACAGATAATGTTTGATTCTCGTTGTGTGTAAACAATCAAGCAGAGCTGGAATCGGACAGGATTTTTCTGTCTGGTCGGACGAATTTTACAGCCAAACTGGTAAAAATAACCGACTATAAAAGTATCTGTTCACATAAAATGTTAGCGAAGGAGAAATTGAATATTTACATGCAGAAATCCGAACTAGGGGTGATCAATTTACATTTACGAAACTAATCCGAACTAGAAATAAAAATTGAAACTAGAACTCTTCCTTCATATTTTATAGCAGGATGCATCGACTTGCCGAGTCCAACATCGATATAAATTAGCTATTCAGATCAAATCTGTTTTTCATCTTAATAATAAATCTAACACAAAAACGTAAATATTTAGTTTTCTTGATTTCGGCAGCTGCCTAAATAGAACAAGAGAATAAATTATTTGATCAAGATTAAATTGAGTGATATACGAGAAAGAAATCGATAGAAATATAAAGAGAACAATCAATCATTTATAGTCAAGTTGAAGACAAGATATCTATTGAGTTTTTCGCAAATACATTCTTCTGACTTGAAAATATCATAAAAAAAAGCCGTTTTCAGTAGAGAAAATTCTTGGATACAAGCAACAATTTTGTAATGATGAACTGGCAAAAATCCGACCCGGTTCCACCTCTGCAATCAAGACAAGCGCTTAGTTTATTATGTGCATACAAATTTTCATATCTGATAGGCCAGGAGACTTTTATTCATTATTGTAAATTAAAATTTTAGTTCATGTGATATTCATATGCATCGTTCATGTGCTGTTCGATATTTTCTTCGATTATCAAATTCTACTAGTAATTCAACAACAAGAAAAACAGCTTATCCATGTCCAGTATGTAAACAAGAATGGAATAAAAATGATGTTGCTAATATATTAAAAGCAAATAATATTAATGAACAAAATAATATGGAACAATCAAATGAAACAGTTCATAAAAAACAACGAACATCAAAAACAAATGATCATCATAATAATACAAATAATCGATCGATTCGTTCAACACATCGTCAACTTATGAATGAAAGTGATGATGATGATGATGATTAATAATAATACTAAATAGACTAATCATATTCTTGTTTAATATCAGGCATATAAATGTAGATTATTATTATTACTATTGTCGTTTTCCTTATAAATATTAAACATTGAAATTTTCGTTTTTCTTCTTCATTATAAATCTATCTTTATCTTATTCATTTAGAAATAATTATGACAAAACGTATATCATTTGTACGAGGTTTTCGTGTACCAAAAGAAAAAGATATTAATGAAGCACTTGGTAATGATGCTTCATTTTCGAATGAATTTAAAAGATCATTTAATTCATTACCACATCCAACAAGTGATTTAGATTGGTTAGCAAATTATAAAGAAAAAGGTCAAACATATAAACGATTTCTAAATCAATGTCCATTTGTTAATAATAATTCTTCATCACAGAAATATATTTATTTAACATTACTTGATAATGATAATCGTTTATCATTATTAAATATTGATCGTTTAATTGATTATACACAAAAATTTTTTCAAATGGAAATTAAACTTCTTCCTTTATTTACAAATTTTAATTGGAATGAGAAAAAAAAAACATGGATATGTAAATTTTGTTTTTTTTTGATCATTTTTATTATTTAAAAATATTGTATTAATTTTTTTTTATCAGGTACAATGAAAAGTAAAAATGATTCAATAAAAGATATAACACTTCGTACACGTTATAATTCAACAAGTGAACATTCACAAATATGTGTACATAATATACTTAATTTATTAAAAACTTCACTTCCTAATGATGCTCGTTGTCTTGTTGCAATTACATTGCATGATTTATATTCAGATGAATCTGATTTATTTATTGCTGGTTTATGTTATGGAAATCGTAGTGTAGCAATATTTTCTTTTTTTCGTTATGATCCTCGTTTAGAATTTAGTGAAGAATTTTGGTATGATTGGAAAATAAAAAAAATTAAAACAAAATTGATGTCAACAATTATATTACTTCGATCATGTCGTCTTCTTACACATGAAATAGGACATCTACTTGGTATTGATCATTGTATTTATTATGCATGTTTAATGAATGGAAGTGGACATTTAGAAGAAGATTTTTCTCAACCATTATTTTTATGTCCAATTGATTTGAGAAAATTATTACAATTAACAAATTTTGATTTTATTGAACGATATGAACAATTATTAGATTTTTGTATAGAAAATCAATTCAAAGATGAAATTAATATATTAAAAAAACGTATAGAAATATTGAAAAATGATAAAACAATGATACAAACAAAAAAAAATAAAGACTTTGATTATGAATTACAACAAAAATCTAAACGTTTGAAGAAAAAGTGATACAAAAAAAAACAAAACAATATTTTAACAAAATATATATTTTTGAGAATAAAATATTTAATTTTCTAGATAGCAATATTATTTAGATAAATCAATGTTATTTCGAATCGTTCAAAATTCTTTCATTTCAATTATTCGTCGATCAAGTAATTTTGTTCGAATATTTGAAGTTGGTCCTCGTGATGGTTTACAAAATGAAAAAACTCAAGTATCAACATCAACTAAAATTGAATTCATTAATCGTTTAAGTCAAACAGGTCTTAAATATATTGAAGTAACTAGTTTTGTTTCTCCAAAATGGATACCACAAATGAATGATCATGTTGAAGTACTTGCTGGTATTGATCGATTACCTGATATTTGTTATTCAGTTTTAACACCAAATATTCAAGGTTTAAACAAAGTTCTTTCATTGGGAAAAAAAGCTGCTAATGAAGTTGCAATATTTTCTGCTGCATCAGAAATATTTTCAAAGAAAAATATTAATTGTTCAATTGAAGAATCATTTCAACGTTTTAATCAAGTTGTAAAAATTGCACATGAACAGAATTTACCTGTACGTGGTTCAATATCATGTACTGTTGGTTGTCCTTATGAAGGAAAAATTAAACCATCACAAGTTGTACCTCTTGTTGAAAAACTACTTGATATGGGTTGTGTAAGTTTTCACTTGATTATTAAGAAAAACAAAAAAAAAGTCATTAAAGAAGATGTGATCTACTTCCTAATAGTATGAAGTTGCACTTGCTGATACAATTGGTGTTGGTACACCGAAATCTATTCATGAATTGCTTAAAGCAATTTATGCAAATGGTATTTCATCGAATAAATTAGCTATTCATTGTCATGATACATATGGACAAGCTATTGCTAATATTGCACAAGCATTAGAAATGGGTATACGTTGTATTGATTCAAGTGTTGCTGGTCTTGGTGGATGTCCATATGCTAAAGGTGCAACAGGAAATGTAGCAACTGAAGATGTTCTTTATTTATTACATGGACTTGGTTATGAGACAGGTATTGATCTTAATCGATTGATTGATGTAAGTCAATTTATAACGAATATATTAAAACGTGATAATATGTCGAAAGTAACATGTGCTGTTCTGTCTAAAAGACAAAATTGAATTTTCTTTTATTTTTTTTTTTTTTACATGGAAAATAGGTTACAATATTTCGTTTTTTATTATTTTTACATTTGATATTCTAGATAGAGAAAAATGACATCAAAAATAGTTGAGTTTCCTTTACTTAATCCATGGCAACATTTTACGATTTATGGTACACATAATGTAAGTGTCGAATAGTTTGAATAAATAAATATGTCTATAAGTATTCTTTCAATAGCGTTATATTGTTGTGGCAATGAATAAAAATCGATCGAAATGTCGTATTCTTAAAATTGATCGTATGGATCAAAAAGAATTAACTATAACTGAAGATCAAGTAGGTTAATTTTCAATTCTAATAAAAAACAATCTTTTTTTTTTTATTTATAATTATTTATTCTAGCATGAATATTCACATGTTGAACTTCGTCAACTTCTTGGTACTATTGAAGTCAGTAATAGTCGAGTAGGTGGTTTTAGTAAAACAATTCATTGTTATGGAATTATTGGTTAACTAAACATAATTATATAAAAATTAAAAAATGAATGACATTTTTTTTGTTTTGTTATAAATTAGGTTTTATTAAATTTCTTGAAGGTTATTATATGATTGTAATAACACGACGAAGTCAAGTAGCACGTATAGGTTATCATAGAATATATAAAATTGAAGAAACAGCAATGTTAACTATAACAAATGAAGATATTAAAAAAATTCATCCAGATGAAAGCAAGTAAGAATAATTATAATTCATATATGAATTATTATTCTATAATAAATTGTTTGTTTTTATGTAGATATCTTCGTGCATTACAAAATCTTGATTTAACAAATGGATTTTATTTTAGTTATACATATGATTTAACACATACATTACAATATAATTTTATTGAACAAAATCGAGAAAAAAATAATTTCAATAATGAAAATTTATGTTGGGGTACACGTTATCAACCAACATGGAAATATGTTTGGAATGAATATTTAGTTGAACCAATACGATCACAAGTTCATCCAAGATGGTTACTTTTTATTATAAATGGTATTTGAAATAAAATATCTTTTTTTCAATTGATTATTTAATTTTTTTTAAATTTAGGTGTTATACTTCAATATAATTTAAATGTATTTTGTCGTTCAATTTATTTAACATTAATTTGTCGACGATCACAAAGATTTTCTGGAACAAGATTTCTTAAACGTGGTGGAAATTCAAAAGTAAATAAATTAGTTTTGAAATTTATAACAATATATATATATATAATAGGGTTATGTAGCAAATGAAGTTGAAACTGAACAAATTCTTCATGATGCTTCACTTTCTTCACTTGGTAAAAGTCATTTTACTTCTTATGTACAATTACGTGGTAGTGTACCAGCATTTTGGAGTCAAGATCCAAAACAAGTACCTAAACCACCTATTGTTAGTAAGTAAATTTAAGAAATTTTTTTTATTAAATATTAATTTTATTTTATAGTTGATCTCAATGATCCAACATATGTTGTAGCATCACAACATTTTCGACAATTATTTTATCGATATGGTTCTCCAAGTTAGTTAAATATTTTTGTATTTTATTTTATTTTATTTTTTTCATATGTTTAGTTCTTATTCTCAATCTTGTTAAAGTAATTAAAATCAATATTTAACTTTTCTGTTTTTTTGATTAAATATAATTCATAGAAACGTGAAAAGAAAAAACAAGAATATATTTTATCTGAAGAATTTTGTAATGCACTTGATTATATAAAACAATTTATACCGGATGATAATGGTATACAATATTTAGCATTTGATATGGCTCGTGTTAATCGTTCGTATGTTAATAAAAAAAAACTTTATCATAAATTGAGTTCTTATTTTATTTTCTCTTTGAAAAGAAAACATCGACGTGTTATGCCTAAATTAGATGAAATAGCTCGTCGATATTTACAACAAACTGGATTTTTTCAAAATTTTCCATTATTAGTCAATGATAAACAATATTTTTATGACAAGTAAATTACTTTTATATGACAACATACAAGATTTTAGTTTTATTTTTATAGAGAAAATGCAATTAAATTAACACCATATCAAACATTTTTCGTACAAACAGGTGTTGTACGAGTCAATTGTGTTGATTGTCTTGATAGAACAAATACAGCTATGTATGCTATAGCAAAATGTGCTCTTGGTTATCAAGTAAAAAAACATATTGAAAAGAATTTTTTGATTTTAACATTTATAATTTAGTTATTTGCTATGGGTCTTACAGATTCACCACATTTACAAGAAGATTCTGCAGCTGAATTGTGTGTTAATATTATCTATTTTAAATCAATTATTAATTAATATATGATATTTTTAGAGTAATCAAACAATTATTTGAACATTCCGGTGATATTTTAGCACAACAATATGCTGGTAGTCAATTAGTTCATCGAATTGATACATATAAAAAATTAACACCAGCTTGGTCAACACAATCTCGAGATATTGTACAAACACTTTCACGTTATTATTCAAATACATTTTCAGGTACTATTATATATATTTATGAAAAAAAAAGAAGATTTGTACCGTTTGAAATTGATTGCGAATGTTGACATCTAACATGTTTTCATTTGTATATATTCATACTTTCTCATGTAATTATATCATTCAACTTATTTATTTCATATTCTTAAATTAGATGCCGAAAAACAACATGCAATGAATTTATTTTTGGGTATTTTTCAACCAAAAATTGGTCGACCACATTTTTGGGAATTAGCAAGTGATTATCATTTACATGATCCACGAATAATACCTGGTTATGTTGCACCACAGTAAATCAATAAGAAGATCGATTATTTGTTTTTTTTTTATCGTTTAGTTTATTATTTTTAGTTGTACAAATATTCTTGGTGATGATATATGGTTTTCATTACCACTTGCAGCTGAACAAGGTTTCAATTGATTTAATTTATAATAAAAAAAAAAATAAGGAAGTTTTTTGTTTAGTTTTGAAATCAAAGAAAGATTGTCTTGATATTGTTTCTGTTAAAAATGATGATCCACTTGTTGATGGTTTTAATGAATATTATCGTCCAGATGAATTAACAATATTTGAAGAAAAATTTGAATGGAATATGGATTCAACTAATAAGTAATAATAGATGATATTATTTATTCAATAGATTATTAATATGATCTTTTCTTTTCTAGAGATTTAGCATATAATTATACAAATATTCGTGAATTTACACCATTTTCTGTTCGAGATAATAAACAACGAAAAAGTATAGTTGGTCTCAGGTAAATTTTTATTACAGTTAAATAAACAATTTCAAGAGATTTTGTAATGTCTATATAATCGATCCTTCATTCAGCGCAATCACTGATGAGTTTCATATAATGTCTCATTTTAACTATTTTGAAACAAATTTTAAAACTACATGAACAATGAATATAACAAGGCTTTAAGGATAGAAGTAAATAAAAAAAACTTGAACCTTCTTCATCATAAACTATTGTTGTTAAAGCCTCTATCCTTATACAAAATTTCAAATAGAAATTCTAAAATTAATTTCTCTAACGAAGGTTACGCCATTATTTTAAAAACTCGGAAAAATATAATAACTCAGCAGCAATCAACTGAGTATCAGAATTCTTTTCAGAATACTCAAACTTTACCTAAAAAACACACGCTCTACAATGATAGGTCACATTTCTCATTCAAGGATTTCTCTAAACATATCTTTATAAATTATTATTGTTATTTAAAACAAAAAATAAAATAAAAGAATATTATATATTTAGTCTTACTGCTGATGTTCAACAACGTGCACTTCTCCCACAATCAACATCTTTATCTAATCAATCTCAAAATTTAAATCAAGATCAATCATCAGATGAAGATATATTTGATGATACAGATACTGATGAAGAAACGTCGAAAAAACAATTATTATTAACAAATAAAAAATCTTTTAAATCAAAAACAACTAGTAAATTAATTACTGATGATTCAAATAATAGTAGTGCTATACAAGTAAAACGTCTTTTAAATATTATATTTCCAACAACAAATGATATATATGGTTTTCATTTGGATGAACCATCAACTGAATCATTACATTGTTATGAACAATATGCAAAAATAGCACGTGATGCATGTTCATTACCAACAACACCAACACCAACAAATAATCAACATACTTATGAAATATCTCTATCAACAAATCGATCAATGTCATCAAGTTCAAGTTTTGAAATGTAAAATTCTATTTCTCTCTAAACAATTAAAAGGACATTAGTGGATAAGATCGTAAATCTGCCATTGACTAGATTTCATTTTTAATTAGATAAAAAGATGAAGTATGAAACTCTGCAATTTTTATTTTTTATTTTTTAGAAGACTAATCAGAGAAAATATTCAATTGTCGAACGCTGTTCGACTTCACATTATCGATACTAGTAGATCTCGATGATATTAAGAAAAATTTAAAACAAATCATGTCTATATCTAAAACCACAGGGGTATTCTATAGGAGGATACAGTAATCAAGTCTACTTGGACATTGAATTCAATAGTAGTCCTTAGGTGCGAATTGTTTTGTCAAACGGAGTCAACGGTTAAATATGATCCCTTATAAGTCGACTTAAGGATAGATCACTTTTGAATGTTTCGATTAATAACTATAGTAGTGATTAAACTTCTCTCTTAGGTGATGTAAGGTTCATTAGGTACAATAGATACTTTCGTAGGATACTCTTATAGTCGAATAATGAATTGAATACTAAAAATTTGTTCTATTCTAAGGCTCATTTTGATCAAAATGTTGTAAGAAAGTGGCCATTTTGGAAACATCTTAAAAGCTAATATCGACCATTGGCAGACAAAATTTCATCTCATTTCAATTTTAAAGAAATGCAAACTGTGAGGAACCACATCGTTTTTTTTATACTAATGTCGAATACAAAATTTTCGTATTGACTGTAGAATGTCCTTAAAAGGGTGCCTTTCTTACAATATTTCGATTAAAATATATA